ACTAAGAACTTAGATGTTGGAGACAAAGTCAGGAATAAATACACTGTACCCATAACCATCTATATATAAGTATGCTATTGCAAGCTGAAATGGGTTTTCTAAATGAGGGTGATGTTGCACGAGTTTGGTCAACACCTGTATTGCACAACATTTAGACGCAAGAGCGCATTCCTTCATCTTAGAGCGAATCACTGATTGTTTCCACCTTCAAGAAAGGATCTCTCAACGATTGCGAAAACCACCGTAGGATAAGTTTCATCCCAATCCGTCATACTTCAACGTTTGATTTCCTTAAGAGAGACCAACATCCGTAAACAGCAAGCCGGATTCCCGCCTGGTCGTGGATGTATTGATCAAATTTCACGTTCCGACAGGTCCTTGGGCTGCGTCATACCCACTGTCGACCAACGATCGCAGTGTTCCTTGACCTGAAAGGAACCTTCGACTCAGTTGATCGCGGAGCTCTGATGAGTTCCTTTCCACGAAAAAGAATACCGCAGAAGTATGTTAACTCACTGTACTCACATACCTCTGATCGAGTAAGGGTTGGCAACGAACTAAGGAGGCCGTTCGTCAAGGGTGTCCTCTTTCGCCATTCCTGTTCAATTTCGTCGTAAATGAAATACTGGAGAACGCACTAAGTGGTCTCCGAAACGTGTGTTACTGGAAAAAAGGTGCGCGATTTGGAGTATGCCGATGACATGGTCTGTCTGTTCAAATGTATGGGGACACGCAAGTTGCATTTGACAGACGAACAAGTGCTGTTGCCACATTCGGTATATGCTTTACACCTTCAAAGTGCAAAGTGATGCTGCAAGACTTGTTGTCGCCTACTCCCGCTTTGAATCTAAATGACCATTCATTAGCTATAGTGGATTGCTTTTTATACTTGAGTAGTTGTGTGATCAATGACGGGAGCGCAACAATGGATATAACCACCCGCGTTTCTGAGGTTCGAGCAACGTGTGCACAACTGAAACACCGTTGGCGTAGATGTGGCGCTTCACTTAAACTGAAAGGTCGTGTATATTGTGCTACTGTTCGTTCAGTTCTGCTGTATAGTTGTGAGACCTTGAATGTGTGAGTAGAAGATATTCATCGACTACAAGTTTTCTATTGTCGTCCACATGGAATGGAGTGAACGGAGGTAAGCCATCGTGTGTTTGGGAGTTTGTCAGAGATGAACTTGCTAGCTCATCGAATTCAGACTAGTAGTCTTAGGTGACTGGAGGTCAACAGATGACGTGGAGACGATGTATGAAGAAATGCACAGAGCGATTAGGTAGAGTAGGTCTCTCGCGCCTTCTAGGTTGGAGTCCGAAAGACTGGTGGGTTGGACACTGAAGGACATGTCATCGAACCGACAGCAGTGGCATTCTTGTCGTCGTTTCTTATTAAGTCAGAATGCTTAAAACGGTATGTATGCAGAGTTTGATTTGGTACGTTGTGTTGACCAAAGAGGTTCACCTTCTTCCCCCTACCTCCAAAATAGGTTCAATGCTTACCCACCTTACATATTACCAGTAACTTTGTACGCATTGCGAGTTTGGTAGCGATCAGTGAAGTTCGCTTATCTGTATTTCGTTATACGATGCTGGTGCTCTGTGTGAAGCAACCGGAACACTCATCGCAAGGTGATAGTTTGATCGATCTTACCTTCAATCTGACTGGAATGTGGTGTGTTATCCACGGGTATTTATTTTGAATCATGTCTTCTTTTCTGTTGTGCGACTGTATCAAACAGCAGATTCGCACTCAGTGTACGGTATACTATATGTCTCTGCTCCCGGCCCATTGTTCAATAACGCTAACTCAAATCCGGTACGTGATATTGATTGATTTTATGGTAAAGTTCGTCGTGTACAGGACAAAAGGATGCCCAAGCTGATGATTCGTTAGTTGGGTTTCGCTTTGTCTGGCAAACCCTTCTCGTATTTGGGACATTTTGGGGACTGGAAACAGTTCTCATGGTGATAAATCTGCAGATATTTGTTTGTTTGCTTATTTCTTGTCAATTACTTGATCATATCGGTCCTGTCTTTCATATTATTCTAGCGCCCGCCTGGAAACCGTTCGATCCTCTCATATCCAATTTGCCCAGTCACTCTCCGATTCCCCTGAACTGTTTTGATGAATCTGATCGGTTCAGTGATAGTGAACGCTCATCCGTCAGTACTGTTCCAATGCGCCTCGACCAGACAGGCTTTGATCCAGTCGGGGACCCAGATTCCAAAGGGCTGGTCCATCACAGTCCAATCCAGGCGATTTCCATTTCGTCCACTGAAGCTCTTACGAACGCTTCGTCTCCGATGTCTCGCCAAAGTAGTGAGGAAACTGTTCCAATGCGGTTACTTGCCACCCCAAGTCCACCGGACTTGGATCGGGATTTGAATGATCCTCTCACAGTCAACTGGTTCGCATTGAACTGCGCATCCTCACTGTACGGTGGTATCCATGGCGGAGCCAATGAATTCACCTTAGCTTTTGACCCCGCCCCATGGCGTTATCGTCGTCTTTCCGAACCGGACGACCCAATGCGACATGCGCGACAAACCATCGCGCCCTGGCGACGTGTACGAAGTGCTCCTAGTCTGTTTATTTGCACGAATGGGGGTATGTCGCGCGGCTCCGATTGCGCTGATCTGGATCAGCTTTCAACCGCCTCGAACGAACGAAATCAGTTACAGGAAGGCATGTCTACAACCACTGCACTCACTGTGATAGACCTTCAACTAGACGAGAGTCATCTGATCTACGAAACTCAGCCTGAAGAACAGTTTCAGCTGGCCTCGTTTGTCGAAGAATCCACTCCAATATATTTTGTGACCTGTTCGGTTGCGCATCCATGGTGTATGTCTTGTTGGGTAGAACGCTTGCTACCGTTAGCGGACCTAGATTCACAAGTTGCTGAATGTTCCCCTCACACGGAATCTTCTCAATCGCAGCATGTTAATTTGTGGGAACCAACTGAAAATGTAACTTCAGTCTGCTCTGCTCTTCGTTCTCCGGACGATATGCAACTTCAGTCTGAACCACTTGCCAAATTAGGTGATTCCCAAGAGAAACGAACAACCTCACCCGATTTTTCGCATACAAAAGAACCGCAAGTTGCAGATTGTCAGCTGCAGAATTTCCTTCCACATCCAGTACGTTCCGAAGTGACACAGTCTCCTGTATCATCTCCGTCTGACGAACAACCGACAGTCTTATCAGCTTCGCCTGTCGGTGCCTCTTCAGTCGCCGCAACTGACTGTTTCAACTGGCATCCCCTAGGCATGCGTTCACCGGTAGATCAAAGCACATGCCTCACCGGTTCAGATGGTGCTGGGTCTATGGGAACTTTACCTGTCAAGATGTCTTCACGTTATTCACTCACTCCGGAGTCTGAATCTCGAGATTTGGACGGGGATGAAGTTGTCGAACCGCTTTCTGAGTCCTCTGATTTTGTTTCACCTGATGTGAATCAATTAGTGGGCAACTGCTCCTCATCTTCCGGTTCATCAGGAAGCTATTCGACGCATACCACCCTGCAAATGCTTCTTGCTCCAAATTTTGGCATGGAACCGAATGCCAACGCCCCCGTGGTCTCATTCACTGCTCAGGCCTCACCTAATCCAGGAATTGGCTGTGATTCGGATGGTCCTAAATTTCCGCCACCCCCCAGCCAGCTCGCGAGTTCGTCTACAATTCCATCTAATTACGAACCTAGCAAACAAATTTATCCTTCGATTTCTCTTTCATTTAATACCTCGATGCAGAACGATCATGTGGTTTCCATATCCTGTCCCACTATAGCCCAAACTCGTAGTAGTTCACCAGACCTTGTTATCGCCGCACGTACCACAATGCATCCCAATCTAATGACCACAGTGTCCGCTTCGACCTCCATATCCGAACTGACGTTATCTCCGTCTCCTTCGACCACCCCAGTCACCACGATTCCCACACACTCTGCATCGCGTGCTGCTCCACGCCAACGGCGTCTGGCTCGTCACTCGAGTGCCACCAACCCGACCCCTCAAGGTTCTAAGGGAACGACCAGTGTTGCGCCTCGATCACGTAAATTTGTGTCAACTCCAGTCACGTGGCTCCCGACAAGTTCATCCATTTGTGACTCTGGTGTGAATTCTAACTCTATTAATTTTTTCGGTCCTATCGACGAAAGTGCCTCCGCAATTTCCGAGAGACATATGCTACCAAATCAAACCAATGCGGTCACAACCACCGTCTCTGGTCCGTTTCACTCCACCAATCTGGGTTCCTTACCTTCTACTTCTGGTATGCGATTGAATGATCGTCTCGGGTCGATGCTACCGCTGTGCACTGATCCAATGAACTACTATTCGACCTCGTTATCCTCCTATTCGACTTTTCCTGAATCGACTACGTACACGCCCTACACCTCTGCGTATAGTTTGTCTGCTCCGCTAGGCTACAATCCCGTAACCGTAAACGAAATGGGTGCACCAGTGTTTTCGACCAAAACATCTTACGAGTCATTGTCCAGTTTCGATTCCGGGAATGTTTTTCACCCAGCAAGTTCCGAACAGCACCAACTGATGCAAAGGTCTGAGGACCAGACCATGTTTTCATCCGCTGTCTGTTCGGAGACACAAGAATCCTATCGTACTCATTATCGCCAGAAGACTGGACCGGCACCGAATAATACGGGCAATTTCTATACCAATCCGCCTCACTTCCATGCGGACTATGGACATCATTCTGCCCATATTTCAGCGCAACCAAATCAATCCATGGATTTGGCACATTTGTCTTTTACCTCACAAAATGGTACAACTCCGGGCACCGTCATGGATTCTGTGTCTTGTATGAATTCCGCTCCTATTGCGCAGACAAATTTCATAACCCCAATGACTCTGACAGCGGCCCCACCTTCTTCAGCGCCACCGTCCTCGCTTCAGACCCCTCTGTTTATAGAACCCAATCTTACCCCATGCACAACCGTGGCTCATACGCTTTTGACTGGGGCACCTACCTATATGACACCTGTCACAGTCGTTCCCACCACGGGTCCTGTAACCGACACGTCCACTCTCACCAACTGGTCGTTATCATCAACTCCGTTTCACTCATCCGACTGTTCAGTCACAGGCCTTACATTCCCAGGTGAAATTAGTCCGTCTGCTAATCCTCCATCTACACAGTTCGTCCTTTGTCCTCAGTTA